AGCTAGAGGGGAGGCGGTGGATTTAGCCATTATGCCATCTGCTGGTCCCATCTCTCTATATATGTATACATATATAAATATAAATATATATGTTTATATATAAATACACATGTATACACACACACACACATAATTTTTTTAAAGAGATTTTTACTATAGGGTATGTGTGCTTGCCAGAGAGCTAGAAAATGAGAAATCACCCTTCAGGGGGGACGGCCATGCTGCAGTCCCTTTTTAACTCTCCTCTTAGGATTTTGGGCACGCATGCACATGCACCCAGTGTGTTTTAAACTGCTGGGTCCGGGACTCCAACTGTGGTCGGCCATGTGGGAGTCCAGTGATGTAACCAGTATGCCATCTGCTAATCCCCATTTTATATATATATATATATACACATTTTTTTTTTTATTGGAGAGGTTTTTGCTATAGGGTGCATGCGCTCGCCAGACAGAGAGAGACAGAGAGACAGAGAGCGAGAAATCACCCCCCGGGGGGATGGCCATGCAGCAATCCCTTTTCCTCCATTCTCCTCTTGGAATCTTGGGTGTCCAGCCTTTAGGTTGGACCTGGAACAGAACTTGGGCCTCCCATGTGAAGCCAATTTGGGGAGCATAGTATCCTAGCACTGTATGCCTGCCACCAGTGGCTGGGCCACTAAGATTCTTTTCCTTTTTCTCCCAAGTCTCCAACTCTGAGACTCGAATTGAGCAGTTGGCCATGTGGGATCCAGCCACCTTAATGACCATGTCATTGTGACATGCCCAACATTATTTAAAATCAACCTAGGGTTTATAGTGTACTTTTTCTTTATTTTTATGTAGTATGTTTAAAATTAAACTGACAAGGTTAAAATCAGAAGTGGTGTAGCATATCATTGCATCAATTCACCATGCCTCATTTATTTATTTATTTATTGGAGAGGTTTTTTGCTATAGGGTGTGTGCGCTCACTAGAAAGATAGAGACAGAGAGATAGAAAGCGAGAAATCACCTCCCAAGGGGGATGGCCATGCCGCAATCCCTTCTCCTCCATTCTCCTCTCAGGATCCTGGACACGCACACATATGTGCCCGGTGTGAGTTTAAGCCACCGGGTCCGGAACTTGAACCGCGGTCAACTACATGGGAGTCCAGCAACATAGCCATTACGCTAACTGCTGGTCCCTGCCTCATTCCATTTTTAACTCTTGTATTGGCATATATTTTTTTTCCCCAGAATTATTTTATTTATTTTAATTTGACCAGAAAGGGACAGAGAGAGAGAGAATGAGAAAGCAAACTGTCAGGTTTGGGACTCAAACCGTGATCAATTGAGTGTGAGTCCAGTGCCCTTAACCACTATGCCATCTGCCGGCCCCATTGGCATATATATTTCACAGTGCAGTGCCCCTATGTTAGTATTACACCTTGTGTTCTCATTTGACATATACCATATTTTTTATCTGTCATTACTCCACTGCTGAGTCTCAGACATCCTGTTAATTGAGTGGTGATTTTACAGGAACTAATGGGAGCTCTGTTTATCAAGAACCATTTTTTAATTGCCAGAGGGGAGGGGGTGGGAGCACCCATCAAAGGACATGGGCACACCACGATTTCTTCTCCATTTCTCCGTTTCATAGGGTTCTGTACATACATGCACATGTGCCCAGCATGGTTTCCAGTCCACTGGGACTGGGATTTGAACCATGGCCCACCCTGTGGGATTTGACTTCCTTAATGACTAGAATGTTGGGCTGACCTGAGAAGCTCTTTTGCTAAAATCAGGCTTATTGTGATAACATTTAACCTTTATTTTAGTTCCCACCCCCCCAACAGAGCATGTGTACTGGACAGAGGAGAGAGAAAGAGAGACAGTGAGAGGGAAAATGAGAAATCATCCCCCTGTAGGGATGGCTAGCCGCAATCCCTTCTTTTTCTGGGATTCTGGGCATGTATGCACTTGTGCCGGGGTGACCCTCAAGCTGCCAGGTCAGAGACTCGAACTGCGATCGGCCATATGAGAGTCCAGCATCTTAACTACTAAGCCAACTCCTGGCCCCATTATTTACTCTTTTTAAGTGTATTGTTTGATGAGTTTTGAAAAAAATGTAGTCATTTAACAACCATCACAGTCAAGATACAAAACATTTCAATCATACAGAAAGGCCCTTTACTATTGGTTCTTTCTCTCCCTTTTCCCAGCCCCTAGCAACATTGATCTGTGTTTTCTCCCTATAGCTTTACTTTTTCTAGAGGGTTATATAAATGAACTCATAGAGTATATAATCTTTTTTTTTTTGAGTAGAGGTTTTTGTATGCGCTCACCAGAGAGACAGACAGAGACAGAGGGAGAGTGAGAGATTACCCTCAGAGGGATGGCTATGCCACAATCTGGGATCTCCAGCATGCATGCAGATGTGCCCAGTGTGAGTTTGTAGCCACCAG